CTGTATTTCCGAGCACTGCGTTTTCATCTTAGAGTGATATGTCAAGTTTCCGTTTGTTCTTTGTGTCATTTTTATAGCCATTCTTAAGCAGAAGTACTTCAGTTGCATTGCTGTTCAATCTTCTTAGTTCAGATCTGGTAATGTTCAAGGCTGTATACAAACAAAGTTATCTGGTGGCGTAGACACTAAGACTCCTTTGTCATTTTTATGCTAGATTTGACATTATCATTGTTCAAAGTGCAGTTTGTTTTTGCTTTACACTAGGTTAGAATGACTCACAACTGTCACATGCCCAAACAGCGTAATTGTGAGCTTTATTCCGTTTTTGGCGACATATTGTAATTATTTTTGAGTTTACCCTCCCTTTCTCACTTTATTCTCGTCCACATCGATTTCTTTCTTTGTATCGCTTGGGTCTCAGTTTCTATTATAGATTGTAGCAAATCGGCAGCAGCCACGAAGGGCCTTAACTTCTTTATTGAAATGGAAGGGGAAGATGTGGTAGCCTTGAAGAAACTGACCACTGAAGAACTGATAGAGCGATTGCTCTATTTGAAGGTATTATGAAGGTTATTCTCTTAATATCTGTATATCCTATTTATGTCTGCAGTACTGTTTGTTCATTGAGCTTGTCAACGCAGCAGATGGATTTAATTGAGAAAATCACATTTGTTGAATTCATTTCGACATTTTCAAAAGAAAGGGTTTGAATAGTACTAGAAAATCCAAATCTCAAAATGTTCTATATCTCTTTCTCGTTTTCAAAGTTCAGATATACCCCTCAGAGAATTTTTAGGGCCTCCATGAAAAAGACACAAGGGATTTTGAGGAGTACAAAACAAGTAGTCAGGAAATGGAAGTTATAATGGAGCGGGAAATTGAGGATGCTCAGCGTGAAGCGAAGGCGGCTACATCAAAACTTCATCAGATAACAGTGGAGGCTGAACGTGCTCATGTGAGTCTATAGTTATTTTTATATTCATTTGTAGGTCAGTTTTTTATAACGATTGTATGCACTATACGGAACAGAGTAATTTTCTCAGTTTTCTGAACCAGTAAGGTGCCGGTAAACTAGTTTTTCACTTATTAAATCAATAAGAAAAGAATAATCTTGTTCTGAATTTTCTCACAGATTTCCGTTTTTTGTAATTTCAATTATTCCCAAAATGAATCTGGCAAAGTAAATAACAAGCGGCGAAACATTATTGAAAGTGACTGCGCCATTTCAGGACAGACACGAAGCCGAAAAGCGTGAGTTCCTCAAGATTGAAGAAGCCCTGCGACGAGAGGTAATTATTTTCTAATTGTCTTTCTCCTTCCATTTTCATTATTTTTCGTTCGCATGGAGGCAGTAGAAGTTTTTTGCACGCGTTCAGATATTGTTCTTGCTGTCATTTGACATGTTGCGTTTAGCACTTCAGAGAATAGTTTCCCCTTAATTGTTTTCATTAATTCTCCTATCGATTTTGCAATGTCAGCATCGCTCATGTTGGGCCTGAAAGTAGGCTATTAAACATGAGCGAGAATTGGAACACAAAATTTCTCTTTTTCCTTCATTTTGTAAGTTGATGGATTTCAGTGTTTCATATTACACCAATTGTTGTGGCATTCGATACTTGGAAAATTGGGAACTATCACAAGTGCTTTGGGAGTTCTGACATATCAATGATTAGAATTTGCAAAGTATTTTTGGACAAACTGATGCATTCCACTCTCACACATGAATATAAGATGGCGCAAAAAAGATTATATTTCTAGAGCGAGTGTTTCGATTCGATTTAGATTTAAATTCATCATGTAGAAACATTTATTCAGCCAATTACCATCTTCGGATCTGTTTCAGCGAATTCTTTATCCTTTACCGATTTTTTGAGTTTCAAAGTGTTATCAAGGTTTGGAACTTTTAATGTAATGAGTAAATCATATTTATGCCTTCATTAGTTTTTCGTCGGAGCTTTTTTGAAAACTTAGATTAAATCTTTGTTTGGACTGTTTTCCGAATTAGTGCGTTTATTTATCCGTTCAGTAATCTCCGAGCAGATGTCTTTTTTGCCTGATTTTATATTTGTCCTCCTCCTGTGTCAACCTCTTTTTGCCATTGTCTTTAATTTCCCAGGTTACACTGCTTCGTGGGGAGCAAGAAACAAACAAAGCGCGAATTCGTGAGCTGGAACAGAAGAACGACGATTTGGAAAGACATGAAAGGAACAACCAACAAGAAGTTACCGATTTAGAAAAGAAGGTTAATTAGTCTACATCAATCCTACTAAGTTTATATTCCAGCCTTGGACCTTCTACTAATCACCATTCACCTTCGTTGTTATTTTCATACTCAGAAAGTACATTTTGAGTCAAAAATTATGTTTACCATATTTATGTTGATATAACTGTCGACAGATTATCGATAGTCTAATCTTAGAGTAACGCCATGATTACTGCAAAGGAAGATTATTTTAGATCAATGAGATGACTGAAAAACTCACATTGTTGGAAAATGAACTGGTTGAAAAACAAACTACTACAGAAGAAGTTTACCGATTGCGGTATGTGAAAGTTGCGAGTCATAGTGCAATCACTACGTTATAATTAACTCTTCATCTCTTTCAGTGAAGAAATGCGAGCCGCTGAGAGGCCTCTTCTCATGGTGGGTCCTCTCAGAGCTGAGCGTCACGATGATACTCCAGAAGAACCCACTCCACTCGAACAACAAAAGCAACGACCGCAACATATTTCTTTGTCTATCGCATCTTCTATAGAAGGAAGTGAGAAGAGCAATGGTATTCCTTATGCTGTACGCCATATCAAAGATACGAATGGGAACGAAGACTCTGAGGTTTGCTTGCATTCTTTTTACTAACTTTGATTGTTTTTTTT